GTTAAGTCGGACGATCAACAACTGTTTGTTATGCCGATACTTTCGAGATAAACGAGACATCTGGTGATACTGTGTGTGTAAACACACCGCCGCTCACCAGTCGTTCTATATCCGAATTGCTCGCTGTTTCTGGTTGACCCACACAAGCCAGAACTGAATTTTCGTGTTTCATGTTTAACCTGTCTGGCTGAAGGATCCCACATTGTGAAGGAGACTTTGTCATATTCTGGGAAAAGTAACATGAAGTGAATTGGTAACAGGCTCGCCGCAGTGGTTTCCTCTTCAGTGGGTTTCATGGGCAGCGCGAATCGCTCGACCCAGCTGAACATCAAAACCGAAACCTTGAAGGTGAAGCGACTGTGTATTTTGTGCAGGCAAAGCGAAGCAATCTGATCACTTAATCGGTTCCTCAAATATCTCTTTTGGTGGTAGCACAGAACATAGCACAAAACTTTCTCTCCCGAAGAGATTACATACGCTGTGGATGTGATCGAACCCTAACCATCAAATCACACGAACGTCGCAGATTATGATGGAGACAATTGTCCCGTTCATAAAAGACTCCTCATCTAATGTAGCATGAATATAATGTGATACGAGACCCCATCCGGACACACGGGAATATGCACGTGTCCGCCATGAATGACAGTAAATAAATAGAGTGATGGTGATATCCGAGATTCAAACCTTGCCATCATCAGCAGCAAGCTTCTTTCATAAACAACTGTGTTTTAGTTTGCCTCAATACTGCGCTTATCCTGTCGGTTAGCCACATCCAGTCCCAGAACTCAAGTTACCAGTTCCCGAAAGATAACATTAGGTCACCTCACTTAAGAGGTTTACCCCCTCCCCCTTCTTAGTTGACAAACCGGTGAATCACGCAATGACGTGTAATGAAAATGGTGTTTAATCCCATTTAAAAATGTACACACTCGTGTTAGCCACTCCCCATCCTCTACCAGTTATCGTATTCTGTATCTGTCCGTATGTTGATTCGTGTTGTCCATTCTCAGACTCAGTCGCTGATCGCGTGCCAAAATTCAAATGTCTCTCTGTGTGTGTGTGCGCGCGCGCACTGATATTGATGCAGATACAAAGGACCACTGATGTGTTCGTGTGCGTACGCACGAATGTTTAATCACATCTGTCCTTTACAATGAGTGATGTGTGTAATATATAGACAGTTTCCGAATTCATATGCGTACAGATTGATGTCAAAAATGCGAAGGAGTTTGTGATAGAAATGTCACTGTAGACCAATGCACGCTATCGATTATATTCTTGTCATTTATTTAAATGTAGTCTAATAAAGTTCGCCTTCATCGATTCAAATTACTTATTTTTCTAGGCTGGCAAAGTTCTTATGAAAACACAATACATGGTCTCATTGTGGACTGTTACAAGGTGGTTGTGCTGTGCGTGAACACGCGTTATGTATTATTCCAAACCGACTATATATGCGCGATGTCGCGTCTCTGAACGTTGTGTCACGTGCTCCCGGTTGAGTACATCGCATCCAAGTCACTTGGATTATTCATCTGATCCGATTCGAGTATTCACTAATTGAATGGCAGTTCACTTACGTGTACCGCTTGCATCGTTCGAATTACACTATATGCCTGTTAGAATCCATTCTGTTTTAAACGTTACGTTTCGCGCGGGTAGCATGCAACAAGGTTGACTGTTTTTTTCATTATGAGGTGTGTACTAGGTAGGGAGGGGATCGAAAATCGCGACCACACGTGCAATAATGAAACGGGTCAAAGTATCACTTGTGTATCATCGTTCGGTAGAAGTCACAGTTATCAGCGCACACCTATCTGTGGAAGCGCATATGCGCAAACCACCCTGCTTTCATTTCACATCAATGACAGGTAGGTTTGCTTATTTATATTATTATATTTTCACACGTCCGAGTTCGGGCTGTACCAAACAAACCAGGGCACAATTATTTTTAGAAAAAGAAAAACGGTTTATGATTTGCTTTCGCCTATGGACTCGCCTATCTTCGTGTTTCCATTGTCGTTTATTTGCGTTAAAAAATAGACTTTATGGCCTCGTTACTCATTCATACCGTAAGGTGTTAAAAATTAATGCAAACCTTGTTTTTCCTTGGCAGCGGCATAGTTTAGATCCTATTTCACTACAGTAATTAGCTCATTATCATCGTAGTCATCGTACAGTGGACCACAGTCAAGTGAAGCTCACTGATAGCTGCCAATCTCACCATATAAACAAAGCAAGTTGAAATGCTTTGTGTGTGGTAAGTTTGGCAGTGATCAGTGAAGTTCAGTGATTGACTTGGTGCAACATATACACTTTATCGCTCTCATGTATTATATGACCATTCCACAGTCACCTGTCCTTCCCTCTCACACACGCACACATCCCTTATCTTTCTTTGCAACACACTGACAGCTTTACTTGTACTCTCACTCTTTTCTTCATCGAGTGTTGTAGAAACTGGAACTGAAGTTACTTTTAAACGACTATTTTCTGGTAGATAATAATTTGGCTCTATGGACCACAACAAGCAATATAAATCTTCGGGATTAAGATTACTAGCGGTGTCTGTGCAGTTTGACAGGGGAAACTGTCCAGACTAATTTAGAGTATCAAGCTTGGATTAGCCCATTCGATTGTTCAGAGGCACCAGGCACTCTTGATAGTCTTCGGTGTGGGTTTCACTACCTGGGAGATCGTTAATTCCCCACGAGATAATACATTCAAATGCGATGAAAATGTTTGTGATAACCGTCGGCCGTGTAGCTCAGGGGTAAAGGTTTGGAGTCCCGACCCGACTGATCGCGGTTCGCTTCCTAACTGGGACACTAGAGTACACACCGCTGACGAGTCCCAAACAGGACGAAACAGTTATCCAGTGTTCTTTGTTGGTTATCACAAACATTTCTATCGCATTTGAATTTCCAGAGTAATGTTACAACATAATCAACAAACAGATCCATGGATTGGAGCAGATTCACTAACCGTACAAAGAATCCAATAAGGTAGCGTCCTGTCCTACCAACTGTCATGGTCACCGACATAGGGTTGCGAGGACTTCGGTAATTGAACAGCAAGGCAGCCGAAATGCAAAATGCAACCGTTTCCAACTGAAGTTGATCAGCTGTCGTCTGATGTATATGATGGTGAAAAACACAACAAACGCGATGTGCTCA